GAGACATTAAACGTTTATGATAAATTTTCTTACAACTTTTCAAAAAAGATACCGCGTATTAGATCAGAAATTACTTATGATAAAGATGATAACATTAAAAATTTACGAATTTGTGCACATATTAAACATAAAAAACTCGAGTTACTTAATTATGTCTTTGCTAACGAAATAATGAATTTCGATGATTTACTTTCGAGGCTTGAAATTGAAGCCAGCAATCGCAAAATTAAGAAGATTGAATGGCCAAAAGACGATGAATTTTTCCGTCATTTCACAATTGCTAGCTTAAAAAATCGCGGAAATAAAATTTAAAGATATATCATATTATATTAACAGATCCTGTCGAAACAGTGACTGACGACGAAAAGAAGTATCAACTTATGACAATCTATCATAACGACCCAATAAGTGGAGGACATTGTGGACTCAAAAGACTGTATGCAAAAATTCCTACTAAATATTTTTGGAAAAACATGACCCGAGATATATCAAAATTCGTAAAAAGTTGTGAGATATGTTTACTGAACAAAGTTCAACCTAAGAACAGAGAAAATCTTGTCTAAACACCCACACCTAGTAAACCTTTTGAAGAAGTGATTATTGACACAATAGGCCCTTTCCACAATCAAGATTTGGTAACAAGTTCGCGATCTAACAAAATATTTAGTAACTATCGCGATACCAGACAAAAGTGCCAAAACTGTGGCTTCAGCTATTTTTGAAAGCTTCATATTAATATACGGAACAATGACTTCTATTAGAACTGATTTAGGAACTGAATATAAGAATGAAATTTTATCAGAACTTACAAAACTTTTAAATATAAAACACAGCTTTTCAACAGCACATCACCACGAAACCGTTGGAACGCAACCATAGAGTTTTTAACGAATATTTACGCTTATTTGAGCGAAACATTTTCTGACTGGGACACTTACTTATTTGAAATATTTTACCTTTTTACATAATACAACGTCTAATACTGTATTTGATAACCAATTTACTCCTTTCGAACTAGTTTTCGGAAGAAAAGCAACTTTACCGCACGAATTGCGAAGGGAAAAGATAGACCCGATATATAACGCCGAAAACTATGCGAAGGAGGTAAAATACCGTATGCAAAAATCACATGCAATAACCAAAGAATTAATTAATAAAAAAAAATCCGTAATAAAGATTTGTATGATAGACACTCTCGTTCAGTACAGATTAAAGAAAACGATCTGGTGCTAGTACAAAAAGAACCCAGAATCAAACATGAAAATATATATGACGGTCCTCACGTTGTAACCAAAGTAGATGGTGTTAATATTACTATTTTCGATAAAAAGAAAGATAAAGCAAAGACGATCCATAAAAATCGAATACGAAAAGTCACATAAATTAGTTTTGCAAATTTGCAATTACATATGAATTTCTATATTTCAAGAAAATTTCAAATTTAACTAAAATGAACTTTTCACGTCACTTATACAAAGATAATGTACTTAGTTATAATGTTTAAATATTAAGTTACACCAGTGAATTAAATTTATACATAAAAAAAGTCCAATAGTAAATAAGAAAAATATTAGGATTACAAGAAAAATGATAATACTAATATATTTAATTTAATATATTTCACAATGCTAAATTGGTAGATTAAATTACTAGAATTAGTTAATTAAGACCAAATAATAGCGTTTATTAGTTCCAGTGGAAAACTTCTTTTCGAATTCAGTAAATATCTACAAGTTGATATGGACGAATGAGTTAAGAGGGGAAGGAAGTAATCTTTTGATTATGCATCTCATTCCTCCACATCAATTTGCCATCGCCTCTTGGAGCAAGGATGGTGATGTAATGGTAACCCTATCGATATGGCAGCGCTATTCAGCACTGTCATACGGTTGGTACTACTGCCAACCTAAAAACAGTTATTTTCTTCCACTTGGGCTAAGGCGTCAGTTTTGCCAAAAAGAAAAGGTTAATTCGTATCTCGCCTTACAACTGATCGGACACGCGCTCCAATAAAATTTAATTAGAATACAAATTTAAATAAAAGAAGTTTTCTTATTTCAATCGCAAGTAGTTTAAAGGTTCTGAAGTTTTAATATTAAATACTAATATTAGTTTCGTGGCTACACTCCAGCAGCCGTCCCTTCAGGTGGCCAGCGTACCGGAGCGGCCATATCTTGGTGTTACCATCAGGGCTGCCAACTATACTTAGGTATGAACTGCCATATTGGGGATAAAAAAGTGCCAAAATGCGCCAAATAGAAAAATAAAAGTGCCAAAAAAGATGCCATTCGTTTAAATTCTTCCCATTTAGTATTTAAAGTTGAAACACGTTCCTAAAACAGAAGTCCAATGCCAAGGTAAGATAAACCAGTTGCATACACTATAGAAATTAGAAAATTGTAGTTGAGAAAATGAAGTACACGCAAAGAATTTTACAAAAATGTATTGAAATTTACTATTTTTCAAGTGTCATTTTGGCACTTTGTGCCAAATTAAAAAGTGAAGTGCCATTTGAAGTAAAATAGGGCCAAAAATGGCACGGTTTGAGCCAAGTTGGCAGCCCTGGCTACCATAAGCGCCGCTACTACCAAGACGACGTGGGACCCCATCAAGTAAGAGGTACGCAAGGTGGGGCGTAACAGCAGCATTTATAAGGAAAATATTTGTCATTTCTGGTTCCAATTCCTTCAGAACAGAAAGCCATGCACTTATTAGACGTCTTAGCAATTATATTACAACAAAAACATGTCAAAACCGTCAGGTAAGTGTGATATTTGCCGTCAAATTTTACACTAGTCCTACGGGCTCGGCAATTTTTATTCACCTCATAGTTGTCAAAAATTTACCGTCCAGAGTAGTTTTCTATCAATTGGCACAGGCCCTATAATTAAAAAAAAATTAAATTTTTATGAAGATGCACTAAATTTAGAATTTATTTCTAAAATATCCAAAAAATGCATTTATTCCGAAATATGCCGAAGTATGCTCTAACAAATATGGCTAAAACGTTTTATCTTTTTATAATTAGTATTTCCTTTTTATGCATTTTGTTTTAAAGTATAAGAAAAAAACATGCTTGAGCATATTTGTGGTTGCCCTACCCATTAGTTTTGTAGTGCCAACCACTGCGTATTACTGACGATGTATTTGCCTGTCGCATCGCATTGCTCTTTCGTATCGCATTTCCATGCTATGAAATCTTAACTATTGAAATTTAGCGTCAGAAATCACGAAAAAATTAATTTCATACGAAAGCTCAAATTGTTCTGTCGATTCGTACGGGTTCTGATGAACAATTCGCGCACAAACAAACCACTCTCATTAGAAGTCCGTTGGATATCGTTTGCAAATTCAGTAATGATAATGCCCGTAGCGCTAAACGCTAAACCCAACGTATAAATCATCGAACTTTAATTGTGTGTACAAGTATGAAAATTTACTCACCAATCCGTTGGGCATCGTTTGCTGATTTAAATTCAAATATTGATAGTGATCATTGTATCCAGTTGAGTTAAAACAACGCATCTCAGGACTCAACGTATACAGCATTGAACTTTCATTGCCTGAAGTGAAAGATGTTTAATTCAATATTAGCTTGTTCCGTCAATCAACTTACCAAAAAACTGTGATTTTAAGGACCACGACACTGGACAGAATCCTGCAAAAACGTAACGATCCTCATCTTCAACGACCAGGAGCGTAGGCCCCTTATTGACAATTTTAGCAAGCATTGTTGAAAAACTCTCGCCCATAATTTTTGATGAAAACAAAAAACGCCATTTATTGCGATACTCATTCGGTAAATTGCTGTTCACAAATATAATATGTGGAATGTCTAAAATTGGCGTATAATTCGTGCCAGTCGCTAAACCTGAGGAAACATAGTAAACGAAAAAATTTTTTTAATAGATTATGTATTAATCTGGATATTTACCATCTAATACTGGTAGTAAATTGCAGGACAAGCCAATTCCCGATTTAAAAGACTTCGAAGACTTTTTGCTATACACGTAAGTGAAAACATCACGCCACAATATCAGGAAAGTGGGATTTACTCGTAGCCATTCTTCCAACATGCGTAAATTAAGAAAATGATCATGATCCTGACTCATACTTCGAATGAGCCCTCTAGAAAATGCATAAACTGACCGATCGGAAGACTGGTATCCGTGTTGGTTCCAACTCTCAAATGCTTCCATAGACTGCAACGACTTCAGATAACTCTTTAAAACTGCAGCTACATACTGTTAAAAATATGAATATTTGATTGTTTAAATTTTAATATATTTAAAATTTTTTGATAGCGTTTTAATATTTCTACATTTTATTTATCATTTAAGCAATGTGCAAAACTAACATAAAAATATTTGACTTGGACACTACTGTGAATCTAACTTTTTTCGTCAAATTCTTTCGGAATAATTGAGATATGGTGTATTAAATAGAAGCTTATAAAGCAGAGAACGCAAACAAGCAATAGCAAACGTTTCGGTATCGTTTAGTTGCGCTCATACAAGGTAACGAAATACAACCGATTCAAATCACTCGGAAACTCTGCTAACGTTCGCGATAGTTAACACGATGCAGCAAAATAAAGGTGGCGCCCAGGGTTGGCACCCCACGAAACCGATTTCGTAGCAAAATACCAGAAAAATCTTAGTAAAAATTAAAAAATCGTAGCGAAGGATAAAAATTGGTTATTATTTTAAACTAGCAAACCCGGCGAACTCCGTTTCGCCACCAGATGG